CAAAACATTGAAAATTATTGAATCGGACTAAAATTACGCCCAGCATAGTTCCGACAAAAAACAAATAGCTAGCATAAACCCTGGACCTGTAGCGCACTCCCGTTGGCTAACCAAGGCCGGCCGAATTTTACGATTGTACGTTGCAACAAGTTCACCACCTTGTAACTTAAAAACTCTAGAAGAATACCTAATAAGAGTTTATGTTCCGATGTAATTTAACATGAAATACTGGCATTATACATATTATATACAGCAGCCCGCTTCTATTCAAATTTATTCGCCTCACGCATTTCTTCCCTCCCGTTTATGCGTAGTTCGCGAATTCATGAAATAAAGATCTTCGAAAAAGTGGCAACGCACTAGCGAGAAACTGCACAGTAGGGTTGTGGATCTTTTGGCCTCATTTTGAATTTGAAAAACCTGTTGGTACCAGAAAATGAATCGTATTATATTTAAATTGGTTTAATATACTTTCATTTGAATCTATTTGAATTTATTATATATTTGAACAATTCCACGTAACTTTTCCAGTGTTGTAAATCCCTAGTAAACAGCTGTTTGTGAAACGTGGCGTTGCCGGACTTGCACTTCTTGATTTCATGAAATGATGCCGAATTCATGGTTAACTTTCATGTATAATTGAATTCATGAAATAGTGTTTATGCAGCCAATTTTAGCCCAAATTCATGAAATGAATTCGTGAATTAGCCTACGCATAAACGTAGTATATATGTATGTACATACCAGGGATGCTGCGAATATTTGCATTCGCATTCGTTATGCGAATGATTCGCATCATTTTACATATTCGCATTCGCATCAAATGATACGAATGTTTTGCGAATGCGAATGTGTACATGGGCAGAGAGTCCACTCTAATATTGTTAAAACGGCTCTAAGTCTGTCTAACCGGGGTGCGGACAATAACCGGCTTTTTGCTTCAGACGCTAAACGGTTAGATAGTATATCAAGCAACATTGATGGGCCTACTGCTTAAAGTCTCGGTGAAAATCCTCTCGATTGGAGGAAAACTACACTAAAATACGATAAATTGACAGATCTGGCCCGCAAATATTTGAGCGCTCCACCCGCCAGTGTTCCAAGTGAGCAATTGTTCAGTGCAGCAGGCTTTATATACGAGCTTCTAAGAAATCGCCTCATGGGAGAAAGGGTAGCAAAATTTTTTTTTTTTTTAAATATAATATGCCTAGGGTTCGAAATTTCAGACTCTGGTATCGATACTGAGTACTCATTCTGGCAGCGAGCTCATGGTATCGATACTCTTAAAAGTATCAGGGATATAGTAGCGATACTACTCAGTATCGGACGCATTAAAATACGTTTTTTGGGATACTAAAATTATTTTATTCTTCAATCATATATCTAGTTATTTCCTGAAATTAAAACAATATAAATTTAAAATATTTGATTTTTATTTCATTGCAGAACTTACTTTTCGGTTGGAAGTAATTTTAATGTTAAATGTACATACATACATACAAATATATATACATATATATATATATATAAATATATATATATACCCAGACAGCAAAATATCCGGAAACGTAATCGAAAATGGAAACAATTTCGTATAAATCCTGATGTTTCATCCGTTTTCCGATTCCATTTTCGGACGTTTTTCAGATCAATTCTCCCAATAAAGTGTTCATCCGAAACGTATATGCAGAAAACTATCGAAAATGGTTGTAAAACGGATGCGCTATTTTCCTGAAATTTGTCTGATTAAATCTTTCGTTGAAAACGATTTCATTATGAACTTCACATAAACAGTTGTTAAAGGCTAAATAAATGTTTAGAGGACTTGAAACCACAACCAAATATTTTTTAACGGTGTGAAATTTCATAATCCGACTTTTATGGTAGCTGCCGAGTTCCTTAAATGTAGTTATAGTCATTTTGAAGTTCACGACATACAATAATACGACAGTATACAACACCTTGTGAACTCCCTAAATAATCTCTATTTTGATAGATTGTAAGATATTTCCCTTCATGTACATCCACATGTATGTGTATGAATGGTAATTACATGATGTTTAGGTTATTGACAATACAAAGCAGTGGTAGAATGCCAAATAGCATTTTTTAACAATATTTTCTAACTTGATACTTAGATACTTAAAAAAAAAATTGAGATACATTTGATTCATTTTGTGTTTTTTACGATACATATTTTCATGACGTCGCGGCAACACTGTTGGCCACAATATAACCAGTAAACAACCTTCGGTGAATTTGGCGGCTGCCTTCCTCGGGGATGAATATGCTAGGGATGAAATTATTGGTACACACGCCTTCCAAGCACGCAGGGTTGCTTTTAACAAACAAAAAATAATTACCTTCAAATAGTTTCAAAAAGTATGTTGTAAAACGAAATTTATTGAATAATTCCACATAAAATGGTATACATCATGGAACTTTTCTACTAATTGACATGAAATTACTATCTCAACGCTCGGAGCGCTGCCACTGATAAAAAAGAGAAAATTTGGAAATACCAAACAAAAATTTTGAGATTTCTCCTTGTGAATAAGAATGCCATAGTTTTTACCTAGCTCGTGTGACTACGCAAAATTTTGACAGCTTGTAAATATGTATACACATAAAGTTGTTGGCGGTAATAGAGTCAAAATCAAAATGGAGAAAAGAACAAAAAGCGTACGTTAGTTGTCAGTTATAAAATAAATCCAATTTATTTGCGAATATTTGTTTATTCTATTTATTGAAAGGCAACTACGCGAAAAGCTTGTGTTAATTAAATTGATAACAGAACCTGGCAGCTCGCACGTTGTCTAAATTCTCAAGTAACATAAAATCCACAAAAGAATACATTGCTTGTATTACCATCAATACGCCATGTATAAATTTTAACAAGACACAAAAATAGAGCTTTCGCACGAGCGTTTGTTTGGTTTTTCAACACCATTTATAATTTTCTTTTAATAAAATCACTATTTGTCAAATGCTTAAATTTATTTATCTAATAATAATGCAGCCTACAACCCTGATATCTAAGAAAAAGTTTGAGGAAGGCCATTAAATAGCAGCACACAACCCCGTGCCTTCCTCAGGAGTGAATATAACTACAACAACAACGACTACTACAACAACAACCCAAAAAGGTTGGTTACTGTCTATACTGTGAAATTAACTAAAAACAAGTAAGAAAAGTCTAAGTTTGGGCAGAGCATTAAATAACCGGCGCAAGTATTGAATATATGTTTTTCACCTTTCTGAAAGCTACCACTGCATGGTAAGCTGGGGTGTATCAATTTTGAGTAAATTAGCGTCTTTAAATTTGGAAATATTGAAGTTTCAAGCATTTCTGAAATTTACCATTATATGAAAAGCGGCCGTAATTTTAGTCCGATTTCAATAATTTCCATCGTTTTGCTTTTAAGTGGCAAGCACAATAACCATACCGAGTTTGGTACAAATTGGTAGAACGGTTACCGATAAAATTTTATCATAAACGTATTTCTTGGTAAAGAATTGTTGCAAGCATCAATTTTGAATAAATTATCGAAGATTTTGTATTTCTCTTAATTACCGTTATATGGGATGTGGGCGTGGTTATTGTCCGATTTTAAAAATTTTCTGCCATTTGGCATTCTGTACCAAGGCCAACAACTGTTCTAAGTTTGGAAGAAATTGGTGCAGCGGTTACCAAGATATACACATATAACCATAAGTGGGCATGGCTACGCCCATTTTCCAATAATTTATAATGTTTTTATTTTTCGTCTAAAAATTATTGTAAATATCAATTTTGAGTGAATAATCTTCAGTAGTTACTAAAATATCGCAGTTTTCGTATTTCTAAAAATTACCTTTATATGGGAAGTGGGCGTTGCTACAGTCCAATTTCGCCCATTTTCAATACCAACCTACCTTGGATAAATGGAAACCTACATACCAAATTTCGTTGGGATTTCTCAATTTTTTCTCGAGTTATCGTGTACACAGGCACAAGTGCGCTCGGGTATAATTAACTCAACAAACTTAATAACTCTACTCTATTTTTCGTTGTATACTAGCAGTAATAACAAAATTTGCCATAAATAATTCAAAAATGTCATATTTTCCTTTGTTTATTTACAAACATATGTTTGTGATCAGCTGATTTTCTTAATTGCAAGTGTTTGTTGGGAAAAATTTTCCAGCAGAAATTTGCAGCCCTCTATCACATTTTGCTCTCTAAATTTCCCCTACTTTGCAAGTTTTTCCGGTACGAGAACGGGTAACCAGTAAAGTTTTTTAAAACTTTTGATAGTTTTAAATACGAGTACACTCCTAATATTTCACAACAAAATATGTTAGTAGCACAATTGTACAAATTTTGAAATAAAATACTGCAACTGAGCAAATTATTTGGAACAAGTTCAGAATAACTACTTTTCTCTACCTTGAATTTCAATAACATCAGTAATCATTATTTTCCCCAAAAAAATTTATACTGTTATAATCAGGACTAAGACCCCTATCGATCTTAATAAAAAATTTTAATCAGAGAAATGTACGTATTCTTTGAACTTCAATAACACCAGTAATTATTATTTCCCGCACAAAAATATTGTACCGTTATGATCAGGGGGGAGATTCTGTAACCAGTTAGCGACAATTTTCGAATCGCTATCGCATTTTTTGACGCAAAACATATATATCATGCGTCATGGTTACAGAATCTCCCTCCAGGACTAAGAGCCCTATCGATCCTTATATAAATTTTTTTTTATTTTGGGAATTGTAGGTATTCTACATTTAAGCCAATTATTTTTCTAACGGAACTTTTTGGAGCCATTTAAATTTTTTGGTAAGTCATTTCTTTTTTCTGTACAATTGAAAAACTGCAATAACGGTAGATTAATAGACGCGTCACTTTTCAAAAAACACCGATGCATCGATACATCGACTATTTATAAATCGATTTATAAATTTGCGATGCATCGAAGCAAAACATCGATATTTTCGATGTATCGATATTTTTCCGAAATCCCTAAATTCACCCAAGGTTGTGATTCGCGTGCTTAATCGAAACAAAAAATATGCATAACAATCCCTTTAGGCAAAAGCCCGGATCGTGTTCTAAGTACAAAGAACGATCATCTGGAGGAAAATGGAAAACAGGTAGTTCGAACAACAATTACGCATTCAGTAAAAAAGAAAGAGAATGGGGCAAGACCAAGTTTACACCAGTTGTTCGCATTCAAGCGGCGACTCCGTGGGCGACTTTCAAAAACGAAATAATTCAAAAGCAACACGAAGAAACTAAGGCTTCCAAAAATCTCAACATGGAAAGTGAAGAAGCTAAACAGTTTTTGAAGAAACGGGAAGAAAATTTTCGGCGTTTGCAGATGATTGAAGCCAAGAAAGAGGATGTCTTATGGGAGGATTTTAGTGAACCTGTTCGGTGTAGAGAAAACGGTAATCAAACGAAGAAAAGCGAAAAATTTTGTAGTGAAAGAAGTCAACCAAATATAAAAATGCCATCTAAACCCAATCGTTCTAAGAAACCAGTTCCGTTAGTGGACAACAGCTTGCTAAGAAACTTTGACAGCAAGAAACTCTCTTTTAAACAGAATAATACCTTACGCAGAGTTATCACAAAAACTACAAATTTTGCAAGAGGAAGTACGCTTGAAGCAGTAGTCAAAGACTTGAAAAGATGTGGAGTTAAACGAAAACAACCAAAAAGAGATTAGATCTTAATGTATACATAAGAACCCAATAAACTATTTTTAATTGAAAACTTCAAATAATACACTTTTTAAGATATCATCGCCTGGATAAAAGCTTATACGGTGTTCGCATGAGGCGATTTTCCAGAAAATTTTAGAGGCGATTAGTTGAATCAAAAGTTGGCTGCCACATTCATTGGAAGCGATTAGGGAGGGGGTTTAGTAGCGCCCCCAACTATTTCGGGCTATTCCATCCAAAGGGGTGGCCCGATCCACGCACTCAAGTCAAGGGTCTACACATTATTTTAACACCCACTTTTGTAATTTTAGGTCACTAATTTATTTACAAATTGGGTTTGAAATATGCCCTTTTTTGTACAATTCGGAAATTAGCGTACTATTCTTCTTAAAGCAGCCACTTCAATATATTTTTGTATTCCCCTTCACTTTACACTTTACTCGATTAGTTATAACTTTCTTTACGACTTTAATATTAACCAATTAATCACAATTCATTAAATAAAAACACCAAAATCACGCGTCTGACTTTGGTTGCATATGCAAATTAAATGGAGTTCAGCAGTCAAACTCCAAAATATGCAAAAGAATGAGAGACAAAAGAAGATAGGATATAACCCAGTAGCATTAAAAATATACAAAGGCGTTCTCAGCAAAAGGTGTTCAGCTCCTTTTCTTCGCAAAACAGAAAGAGAATTCTATTTTGTGAGGGTTATAATCCCTAAGTGCGGCCAAAGGCCGCCTACGCAGAAAGGTTTTCTCTGCAAAAGGTGTTCAGCTCCTTCGCAAAACAGAAAGAGAATTCTACTTTGTGAGGAAGGAATTCTACGCAAAAATACATTTGTTAAAAGGAACATTTTTTTTATAAAAACTTGTTTTTTCTATGTTAAATTAACTTTTTTATTCTTTATTCAAAATCGCCCGATATCTAATTTGGCATTATTTCTTTTATTAAAAAATCCCACGGTTTCTGTTAGTTGGGTCATATTCCATTTCAAACTGCTTAGTTTGCCTAAGAAAATTCCGTTTTCCCCCCTTTTTCAAACGGTTCTCTAGGGGCCTGTGGGAGGAGCCCAAGGGGGCGTACGCCTTTTTAGAAAGTGGGGACTGTCCCCTTTCTAGTGGGGGGTTGCTGTAAAATCGCCTCAAGAGGCCATTCCATTTTTAACCGACTTCCAAAAAAGGAGGAGGTTATCAGTTCCTCGGAATATTATTTTTTTTTATGTATGTTACCGCATAACTTTGGACCACGTAACCTGAATTCGATAATTCTAATAACATAACATAAGTTAACATAAAGGTTGTTTGTAACAGCCTAAAGGAATCGAGATAGATGTAGACCAGGGGTCTACGACAGACTCGACGGGGTCTACGCTGGCATGAAAAAAATATCGGGGTCCACGAGTGCTAAGTGGGGTCCACGAAAGTTTTTCTGGTTTCGGTAGTAAAGATCCAAAATGGTTGCTTGATAACCTATATATTAAACTTAAATTTTTTTGAGTGGTGTATAGTGCTCTTGACATACTGCTGCACTCACCGTCACTTTGTGTCTTGATACGTGGGGAAGCCTTAAAAGCCACATGCAGACTAAAAAGAAACGGATGTTGGTATAACACTGAGTGGTGCGAGGCGGAAGTTGCTGGCGGCAGAGATTTGAGCACTTGTGTCTTTTCAATGCTACAGGATAGTACGCCACTATTACCTTTGTTGAAGAGATTCTATAATATTAACTTCCCTGAGGCTGAGTGCTGGTTTACTTCCAGCATTGAGCTCGGACTCGCACATTGTCAAACAAGTTCGGCAATGCAAGTCTTGACTAAAGCACCAAAGCTTCGGACAGTGGACATCATCACCACCAGCGCGACTTTTTTGTAATTCTTCACCGACTGATATTCTTGCATATATTGCGTACGCAAATTTCCATTTTTTCTTAAGGTCGTCTACCGTTATGCATTCATCAATTTCTTGCATCGGCGCTAGAACATCATGGAGTGCCATTGCTTTTTTTTTGCGGTCTAAATAGTCCTTGAAGCTCACGGAGTAAAGACATTCATGCTCCTGGTACAAATATATACTTTTCTCAATACTTTCCCTCGTCCACTTATATGTCAATGTCTAAAAATTACAAAGCATAAAATTTCGCAAACTTATATTCAATTTTCAGCGTGTTTTGCAGCGAAAAATTCTTTTTGACACCGAAGTCATAAAAATAGAATAAAGAAAAACGTCATACGCAACGAAAATATCAAAAGCAAGGCTAGCAAACTTGCTAGTCAGAATCAAGCAGATTGTACTGGAAAGCGATCCCGTACTCGGTTCTCTGACTATTGAGAGACGGAGAAGTTACCAGTTTTAGTCCAAGAATTGTTTGCTGGTAAATGTCAAGAATGATGATGATGATGAGAATATTCTCTCCATCGTGGGTAAATGTGTTGTTTGGCAACCAAATTGTAAACAATAGAAAAGTGCACTGCTAATTCATGTTGAAAAGTATTTAATTACTTGTTTAAGTGGATTCTAATGAACTTGAAAGTATTTTTGGTTATTTACATGTGTGAGCTGAGTGTGTTTATATACAAAATAAGCAAAAATTTACAACCAAAATTTGGAGGTTATGTTGAAGTTGACAAAAGTTACCATTTTTTACTAGAAAGCGATCCCGTACTTTTCAATGTTACTCTCTCGCTCTGAGCGAATTTTTATTTTCTGACAGTTTTAGGTCGGTGTTATGCAGACAAACTTTTGTTTGCCAAATTAAATGGCGGCTGCTTAGTTTGCTCGGAGGTGGTTATGTCGAGTTTGGCACAGGGTTGCACGTTCATTATGGTTTTCATGGCTATTGCCAACACGAAATGAGAATTTCAGATGTACATAACGCGCAAAATTTAAAATTTTTGTATATGGCAACACCGAATTTGCTGCAGTTTGACCAAACAAAATTAGTTTGCTGTGAGAGTCGCCAAATTCGCTCTCTCCGAGTTTGCTGCAATAACAATTGCACGCAGTTTGCCAAACAAAATTTCTGCATAACACCGACCTTATTACTAGTCCGAGTCCGAGGAATACGGGATTGCACCTAATATAACGAGGTAAGACCATTGAGAAGCACTCTCATGATAAAAAAATAGGAAGGTAGAACCGCTGAGAGGAATTTTTCAAATTCTTGACGTTTGCAAGCAATTTAATTTTAAAATTTTACACACATTCTCAGTTTCAATCTCAAACAACTTTGAAAATTTAATTTTTTACTCTCAATTTTATATGATTTTAAAATGTTGGCAAACTTCTTAAAAAAAGAATCACCGCCGACGAGTTGAGAGAGCGGTTTTACCTTACACCCGATTTACATGATTCAAGTACTTGAAAGCAATTCTTGCGTGTTCTTTTTTGTGGTTTCTATTTGCTTTTACACGTTTCAATTCTGTTGAATTCAAGTTTTTGGTTCTTTAAATGGGAAGCAACGAAAATGCCAAAAGCAAAGCAAGAAAGTTGAAACGACTTGACGGTACAGACGCATGTGTACTCGTCCCTTTTCTTCTCACCCCCTCTCTTCCACATGCGAGCAGAATTGAATTCAATACTTGAACTGTGTAAAAGCAGTCTTACTATTAGTGCGTTCCAGAACGTCTACGATTTGCAGGTTTTGCAGGATTTAGTCCAAAGTCGTCCCCGTACGCCACGTTCACATAAGGTTTATTAAAGGCTAAAACAGCTGTTCCTTTAAAACTAGCAAATCCTCCAAATCATGAAGTACGGAAACAGGCTATATGCTTTTATCATGGGCACTCTGATGCAAGGCACATAAATACAGGTAAAAGCCACGATCCAGAAAATAAAGGTCGCCATTCGCGAACCGCTAACCCTCTCCTCGTCGATTTGACAGCATCCACCCAATCGCTGATGTCATAAAATACTTTTGTTAACATTCACTGTTGCCAACTTGATGGTTTTCGCACGAAATTTAGTCGGTATTCAAAACGCGAAGATTTTTAAGTTTTGTGCTTGGTGCGTTTTTGGTGCTTTTGTTTTTAGTTTGAAGACATCAAATTATAAAATCTTAAAAAAAATGAAGACAAATTTATAGCAATCGTAAGTGTGGTAAGCAATTTTACAAAAATTTAAACAAAATCATGGCACAGTGACAATCATAAGCGACAACGAAATATGTGCAGCACCTTCAATCATGCCAGAAGAAATCGACCGTTGTGCAAGAAACATTGATTTTTATTAATTTGAATAGGCATCCTTACAATAAAATTATGTATTGTGGCGAATACTGCGGCAACACAAAGCGAACAACGAGAAATAGGCAGAATGTTCGAGGAATGACGTAGAATGTTCCACAAAGAGAAACGTCAAGTTGGATGAACACTGCGAACAGCGAGAGAAAGAGAATGAGCGATAAACTTCAGAATGTTCTAGAGTTGCCATAAGTGCCAGATTGTTTCAAGGATAATTGTAACAGTGTTCATATAAAGTCCATAAAATACAACAATAAAAATGTGGTGCTTTTTCAAATTCAAAACTTGGCAACACTGCCTTTTGTTCGCTGCTTCCTCTTTTTCTTGTCGAGTTCGTCTTGCTCTCTCATTCTGGTATACATATTTTGACGTCAAGGCCAGTTGTTCTCAGCTCGATTGGCGCAATCTTGTGTTCTATCATTCTTGGGTAGAAGCCATTTTGACGTTGCTCTCATGAGAAGCAAACCTTTAAACTTCAAATTGTTTATCGTTTATTTCCTATATTTCGTTACGCTTTGAAAGTCATCTCCTTGTTTTTTTTTTT